TATGAAATAAAAACAACGATGACTAAGGGTATCAAAATTTACAAAAAAAAAAAAAAAAAAAAAAGCCTAACCATTGCTGATCTTCCCGTGTTTCCACGGCCAATCAAATGTGCAAAATTTGCCTCCCCCCGATTTCCGCGGGCATGTTTTGCTCCTTTATTGGGAGCGAACCCCATTTTTCCATTTTACCCATGAATAAATTATACACAGTATTAGGTGTTTTTACGTTTGGCCAACATATCGTTAATTGTCCACTAATGCGGCATTTGAAGGCATGTGATATTAGCGCTCAAACTTCACTTTTGCTTACAGAAATAGATGCTAGAAAACGTTCAGCGATTATCTGATTTTAATTAAAATTATTGAATATTGATTAGATTAATAATTAGATTGATTATTCATTAGATTTATTGAATCTGGTGCAAGACTGTGAAGTTTGAACTCTATCATATAAACTGCATTTTTAAGGTATTTTTCCTCAGACTTTATATTTCTTAAATTTTAATTTTTATTATGCATAAATAGAAATTAACTGTAATGCGACTGAAATTTTATTTAAAAAAAGATTTTTTTTGTGATAACATCTGAAATTTGTTTTTCTGGCAACGTGTTTCTCATGAAAAACTCTATATAAAAAATTTTCTAGAAGAAAAAGTGCATTTTCATTCTCTATATATATATACATTTAAATATAAAAAAAAATAAAAAAAATAAATAAAAATTACGCATTCGGAAGCGATTTTGGTCCCAAATGAGCGTCGAGGGTTAATATTTATTTGTTTCCTTATTAAAAATTTCTTTCAATGTAAGTTGTTCAAGTGCTTCGTTTCATGTGATAACTTTCTCTTTAATTCTATTAAACAGACATAATTTCTTGTTTAGTTACAAAGTTCCGCTGTTCAAGTCCTATAATTGCTGTGTCGAGAATACCGACTAATTTGTCAATTCGAAAATAACCTCTGGTCACTTTCTTCACTATCAGGAAGCGAATTATAATGACGAGGAACTTGATTTAAAATCATATCAAAGACCGAGTACATCGAGATGAAATACTACATTTAGTAAGAAAATTATAAGCCAAATAAAATAAAAACATCTGCCCTTGAAGATAAGGATAGTGCTGACAGATCAACTTCCAATTCATTGCGCGCCGTGTCGTTTCCCCCCCCGCAGAGCAGCGTGAAATTGATAAACATATTTTTGGAATGATTAGATAAACAAAGGATATGCCTTTATCCATTTTTTGCAGCAATTCCACTTTCTGTTTAATGGACTTCGAAACATACTTTCGCTTTGTAGATCCTTTACATATTAGTAAATATATATCGGAAATTCTATTTGACATAATCGAAAGTTCAAGCTTACTTTTATAAAATTGCTCTAACAGTCTGCAAAAAATAATAAGCCGGATCCAATTCGAAGATTAAAGAACAACGCACATCTGCAACATTAACTGAATTAGATAATTTTAGCTTAGCTTATACCGTCCGTTATGCATTAAACGCGCATGCGTAAACGTATTATGCGCATGCGCACACGCATATTCGCAGCCGTAAAGGTCAATGCGACGCATGTGCAGAATATTTGTAGCTTTGATGTCCGGATTATGGGTGTCTGAATTAATGACTTTTGACTGTATTAGATGCCTTATCACGTAGCAAATTCAACAAAATTTCCACGTTATATTTTTCCGGTATTTCCTTAGAGACATATGCTCTCTCCAAAGAGGAAAAGAAAAACCCCAAACTTCTGTACTGTAGGTATTTTCTTAGTTAAAGTACAAATGCTTTTTATAACTGTGTCCAGTGATTCATTATTACTTTCGATTTTAGGAATATCTGATTTTATTTCCACGCGCATTTTAAACCAACTCTAACTCTGCTTTAGAACATTCTAATGTAATTTTCTCAAGCGCTGTTTAGATTCCTCAGATTTTCTCCTCTCATTAATCATTTTTGCAATTTCATTCACAGAATCTGGATCAGATTTATACGCATCACTGTTTGTGTGTTTAATTCAAACTGTCATTTTATCTATTTCAAAAGCCATAAGCCTTAAATCCTCTTTAATTTAATCCAGTACTTTTAGATATAAGCTCAAATTAAATCTCAAATAATTCAAACAGTAAATTATCATCTACTTGACTGCTGAATATACTTCTCTTGGATCCAGAAGTAGCCATACCTTTCAAATCCACATACACTTTGAAGATGATTCTCATTTATAATTATCTCCTGCTTAAGGACCAATATGTTGGCCAGTTCGTTTTCTTAAAGATAATATTGTTATAGACTCATTCTTTGAAATGGACTGTAAATAAAACTGGCACTCAAGGTAAACACACTCATTTATTAAACCTACTCCATCTTGTACTCTTTTCGACTGACTCGCCAGTAAAAAGTTTTTCTAACCAGAGGCGCTGTGGTCGCAGGCGTGAAGAATTTCATTGAATTCTTTCATGCAGTGAGGGAATATAATTACATCTGCGGAAACCTAAATTATCCCAGTTCATGTTTCTGTCTAATAATAACTTCCAACAGCTAAGAAGTGCTGAAATGCGAATGGAGTGAAAGTACATGTTATTCCTAATCTTTGAAGAAATAAGTGCATACTATAAACCAGCAATTCTTAACCGGTGGTACACAAAGTATTTTTAGCCCAAAGGGAGAGTTAGCTCAGAAGGGCTACTAATTTTGTTTTGGCATTTTGCGTTGATTCACTTTTAAAACTGTTTCCATCAAATTTTACAGCCCTGTATTATATTAGAAATTAAATAATGAAGAATCTGCATAAATGTATGTTTCTCGCATTGTGATAAAACAATGGTACCCGGAGCCATAAAATTTTCAATAATATAATCCTCCACCAAATATGGACATCTGGAACCCATAATTTATAATTTGTTTTATTATCTATTTCATATTTTGTAGAACTTTAACAAATTTTTGATTAATATACTCAATGATTTCAAAGCGAGAAATGGTAAAACTATACGAAAAAGAACATTTTATCTCCAGCGTGCAAGACTGTGTATCGAAAATTCTACTGATATGCTTATTTTAAAAATGTTTTGCCGTACTACTGTTGAATTGAATTTTATGGTTTAAGTACGAAGACCATAATATTTAATAAATAAAGGTAACACAGAAAACGTTAAAAAAAAGGCCTTTTGGGCGTAATGTAAAATCTGAAGGCTTTCAGATTTTTATTTTTATTAACTACTAAATTCAAAAATCTCTTGAAGGAAAAGAACAATTGATGGACATTTCCTATGATTAAATCGTATTTGAAGATTTCAAAAATAGCACACTTGTTAACTTTTGGCTGAACTGAAAAAAGAATTTAATGACATTTCAAATAAAGCTATTAATTTTTTATTGCGTTTTTGCATAACCTATTTGTGTGAACAAGGATTTTTGTCCATGTTATATTTGATAAATAAATACAGAACAAAATTAAACATGGATCCTAATGTAAGGTTTAAACTAAGTGAAATTAAGACCAGACAAACATAAAGAAACTGATCTCTCTTAAACAGACCCAAATTTCACACTTAATTTTAGAATTAAATTATTATAACTTACATTTTGATATTTTAATCTAATATTTTTAATGTGTTCACATTTAATATAAATAGCCAGTATGTTGTGCAAATGGCAAAATCTTTTTTTTAAATATTTCTATTGAGAATCTGAAAAATAATCCTTGCAAAATGTATTAGTGGTACTAAAGTTTTTCAGTTTTTGTTTAGATGGTATGTGAGAACTGCTGCTACAGACTAATATTTAAATGAAATTTAGTATGTTTTGTTTATGTTAGTTATTTATGCTATGTTGCATTTATTAGTTTATGAAAATATATAGTACAGTCATTTAAAATTAAAATGTAATTTAAAACAGCAATAACATTAGAGATAGTATAATGATAGAGACAATTCATGAAATATTCAAGTACAAAAATGAATAATTATGAAACAAAAAATATTTCTATAGAATTAAAAAGTCACATGTAAAGTATACTGCAGAACAAAAATTTCAAGAAATAAACAACAACAAAAACTAAATCTCAAATAGAAGTTTTACACATTGTACTTAGCCAGCATTAAATTACGACTGATTCTTCATGAATGAATTTTGCCTGCACCCTGCATGCTTGCTTCAATGCATATTGGATCAGATTTGAAAGTCATCTGAGGTGTTTGGACTGGTTTAGGCTATGTGAATGAGAGCTTGCCATTTCACATTCTTTGGTGTAAAGAGCAAGATTAGCATATAGAAATTCTTACTGCTCTGGTTTCAGTAAATAATGCAATTATTTATTTATTCTCTTGTTTAAGAGTATAAAGATTACTTTAAAAGTAATTTTATTTATGGGAATATTTTTTATACATGAAATACTTCAATGTATTTTTACAAAAGAATTTTTAATTTTCCTATCCATTATCCCTTTTATCTGCATCATGTTTTGGCCTTTTTCCAACATTATCTTCTTTGTGAATTTCATTATAATTTTTATATTAAGTAAAACTTATTTAAATAATTAAGATTTGAGTATGTTTTTTTTATGTTAGTTATTATGTCCAAATGATAAAAATTAAATGCAAGAATTGGAAAAAGTCAAATACAACCTGTAATCTGCACAACTGTCAGTTCAGAATCGGATGTCAGAATTCTGTTATAATAATTTGTCTTGAAATTTTGGACTTTTACCTGACGATGTTTCGTAAATTCTTGCATTTACTAATGCAATTTGGCCAAGCATTTAGAAGCATTTTTGTGACTTAACCCTACCTTGTTGTGGTAAACTAGGATTTGTCAGTTTTCAGGCTTTAGCAATAAAATTTTCATATTGTCGTGCATTAATAATATTTCAAGTTATTTATTTCCACCATATAAAAGTTACTGCTTAATTTACGTACTACTTTTTGATGCTATTATGGCCAATATATATACTAAATTTTTATATTATATTGTATTTTACTTATTTGTGCCTTTTAATAGGTTATCGACTTGAATCGCCACCTAATACTCCTGAATATATATATGAATTAATGATCAGAACATGGGACTATAATCCTGACAGAAGGCCTCATTTTGCTGAGATTAGAGAAACATTAGAAAGCATTGCATCAAGTTTCATTTAGATTTTTCAAGTTAATAGCATGATGATACAGGTTTTCACAGTATCATGTATCAGTTATTAGTATTTAATGTTATAAAATTTGCTATCTAAATATCAGTTATCCCTCCCATTTGTACTTGGGATTAGCTCTACAGTATTATTTCCATGTCTGTATTCATTTTTTTATCACTTTCTGGTATGTTTTTATATAAAAATTAGTATTTTGTTTCTGACATATGCATAATCTGCATGCTTAGGGCAAATATTTATTTGATGAAATAGATATTAATTTTAAAAGAATGTATACTTTTCATATTTATGTACTTCATTTCATTATTTATCTGAAAATAAGAAATTTAGCTTATCATTCCAATATGTTCAGTGCTCAAAATACATAACCATTATCCTATGTACATCTTTAAATTAGCTTTTTATTAAACATTTGTTAATAATTGCTTTTGATTGTTATAGTTAAAACAGCTCCTAAAATTATTTCATGTACTTTCCTTTTTACATTGCATTAATTTAAAGAAAGGTTCCAAGTCCTTTTTTTAATCGTAATAAAAAATGCATGAACTGCATAATTTCTCATTTAGATGTTTTATGGTAATTGAAATATATTTTAATAATATTTTTTTCTTTGTGTAATGTTAACAGCTAAAAGAAAGATTTTACTTTTGTTAAATGAAATAATTAGATTTGTTTTCCTGTTTAGGAGGAAGGTAACTGAAGCAAATATTTTTTTTTTTTTCCTTCGTGTAATGTTTACAGCTAAAAGAAAGATTTGACTTTTGTTAAATTAAATAATTAGGAGATTTGTTTTAAGCAAATGTTAGGTCCAAATTATAGTGCTGGAGTTATTTTATTACTATTACAAGCATGATGTCTATTTCACGCAGCATAATTTTTGTTATATATTAGCAGTTAGAATGCTTTAATTTATCGGTATATTGCAGCTATTAAATATGAAAGCAAGGAACAAAATGTAACCAGGGATTTTAGTGTCTGTACAATAACAGAATTAAGTTTTAAAGCGCATTCTCTCTCTAAATTGTCCATAAAAAAGATTCATTTCTCTGCTTTTGCATATTTCATGTAATGCATTAAATATAGATACATTGTTGTGTGTTGTGCATATATTGTAATACTGGTAATGTGGAATTCTTTTTGTGCGTCATTAGGCCAGTTATACAGAGATATGGAGCAAAATTTTAAAAGGAGTATCTAGCAAGTTTTTATGTGTGTGGAAGTATTTAATATTAAAATTTACATTTTAAAATATACAGCTATGGCACTAAAAAAACTTTTATTCATTTGCAGGTTTAAGAATGATGACATTTTTAACCTCCTTAATTTAGTACTAATCTATGTTTCCGGAGTCCTAATGATATAATTTATTGATTCTATAAGTATTGTCACTGAGTTTGGGGGTTTGGATTCTCTTTGCGGTAAAAAAAACCTGGTTATTGAGAATAGAAGCTTTGTTTGTTACAAAAATTTTAACATCTTCGTTAATATTTAGTTGTAAAAACTTTCTTTTATGAAGACTGCAATAATTGTGTTTGTTATGGAGTCAACAAGTTAGACATTCTTCAACAACAACAACAGAAAAAATTACATGTATCTTGCACAATTCTTTAAGGTTCCTTCAAATGTTATCTTTTAGATTATACCATACATTCTCATTTGGATTTAGATCTAATGACTGAAAGGGCCATGGCAGAATATCAATTTTGTTTTGTTCAAACTGACATTTTGTGAGCTTTGCTAAAAATGTTGAACCATTATCTTGTTTATAATGCTATTTCAGTGGCACATTCGCTTTTGTCCATTGTGGCATTGTGTTCTCTAATGTGTCCTCATATATTTCTTTGGCAGTGATGCCATCAATATAAAAAATCAGGTGCCCATTATTCCACAGACACACAAAACTTTAGATTGCCACCTGCAGCTTTAACAGTTTTCCTTGCCTATTTTGCCTGAAGTCGGCAAATTGTTTCCAATCCATTTCAAATTAATTTTTGCTTCATTGGTGTCCATTTTTCCGGGCCTGCATTTGATATGGTGCAATTTGGGAAACTGCGTGCGTTTTGGTGCTTTCTTTAAAATGGAAATTTGGAGTTTGAGAATGCACCTTTTGATATTCACGTGTGAGTGTAAAATTATTCAGGCTTAAGACCAGCTTCACCTTGAAGCACTTTAGTGGACAAAAGTAGTTTCTCTTGTGATTTTCATAGACTTCTTTTCTCTGTTGAAGTTATTTTAGAAGGTCTAACCCTAAGTTTATCATATTTTTTGCTGGTATTGCTGTAAAATCTTTCTTTTGCGGACCACAAACCAATGTGACATTTGTTTTAATTTACTGCTGTATATTGTTAAAATGGTTTTAATTCTGTGCTTTTACATGTTTTCATGTATCCATTTTTTTTAAATATAAATTCATGCAAGTAAAGTAAACATTTAGTAAGTAATTTGAGAGTTGACTAAAAAGAATGACACAGTTTATAACTTTTTTTGAGTGGTAAGTGTTATTTCTTGTTAATGCCCCCTTCTGTCATATGCATTCTGAAGATAGTTCAAGGGCAAAAAACATAATGATACACAAACATCACAGTAATCAGCAATGATACAGAATCTGTGAATTCTGTTATTAAGAACCAAACAATACCCATTAACTGTAAATTTAAAATATTAAAATGACCTTATTCTTAAATTTTCGAAAAAAATGAAAGGTGTTTCTTTCTTTTTTTGGAAGGGAGGGGGCATAACTTATTTTATGGTTGTATTTATGGCCAAGTGCTCAAGAGCTATCTTCCTTAACTCGATTTCAAAACTGTGATACTCAGGCTTTTAGTGTAATAACAGAAATATTTTATGGAAATGTTAAATTATTGCTTGTATTAAATTTACTATGGTAATTTTGTAAGAGGAAAACTATAATGACATGTAAAAACAAATTTATTTTTATTATGTAAACCTGTTTATTATTATTATTATTATTTTCCTTTTCATGTCAAGTATTTGTCAACAATTTTGACATATTTATGTGCCAAAGTGGATTTTGTCTAGTAGTGTATAATGTAGTTTGATGTCCATGATGTTATTTGCCTTAAATCTTGAAAACTAATCTGTTGACAATATGTACTGATATCATTCTAAGCTATATTTTTGAATGATATATATTGCACTTTGTGCAGTTTATAAATAAGACAGTAATTTTTTAAGAAAATTATTTTATTTATTTTTAAATAGATTGAAACCCTTGTCTACAATAAAAGGGTTTTGAAAGACATTCATGACTAACTGGCTTGTTAGAACACAGTTTTTATTTCACTATAAAGCAGATTTATGCTAAAAATATTTCAAAACGTTTTTAAATACTCATATTTTTGTTGCTTTAATGTTATCTTTTTGTTGAGAGTTATTAATGACCGGTTAATGTACCCCTTCCAAAAACAAGATTATACCGTAAGGTATTCATAAAAAAAGTTTTAGGCTGCATTGTTATTACCTTGAAAAACAAACCTAATTGTAGTTTTGTTCTAATTAATTTTTTAATGATACTTCCTGGGATTGTGAATCCTCAAAGTTTTCCTGCCGGGGGAATGCTGTGCTGTTTGACCTAATTTTGCATGTTATTATTATTCAACTGAAGCTTTAAAGACATGATCTAGTTCCAAATGTAGCCTGTTACTGCACTTGTTTGATTTTTTTTTAATGCATGGTGTGCCTATTCTAAATAGATGCACTGTTCACAAGCACACACACACATGTATATATACAGTACAAAGTCCAAATCCGGACTCGTCGGGACTTCAGCGATTCCGAATTAGGGGTTTCTCCAGATTATAGATCATCAATTTAAATCTGGTAAGATGGCATGCAGAAATTATACAATTAAAAATATGAAACTGCAATTTATGAAATAAAGAGCAATTGCGATCTAAAGGGTATCAAATTTTACAAAAAAAAAAAGAAGCTGAATATTTATTTGTTTATTAAACATTTTTTTCAATGTAATTCTGTTTCTCTTAAAACACATTCATATTTTGAATATGTTTATGTTCAAACTTGTTGAAAACCTTTCATTACTTTAATGAAAGTAGTACAGTAGTATGTACAGTAACTTAAGTCATAGTTTAGTATGTACAGTAACTTTTATTAAAACTTTTAAAAAACCACAGCCACAGATTTTTAGTAATATGTCCAGAGAACACTTAAAGCAAGTTCTAATATGTACACATTGGTAACTGCATAGCAACAAAACATTTTTTTTATGAGTTTGAAGGGGGAATGTGCATGCCTTTATATAGATATTATATATATATATATATATATATATATATTGAGTTTATGTAGTAATGTAGGTTAATATTCCATAAATGTCAATTTTTTGATAAATTATTTTGATCTCAGAATACATTTTGGGAAATGCAAATCTCATCTGGGTTCTTCAGATCCTTAAAAATTTAGAAACAGTCACTTTAATATATTCCTTAAAAAAGAAATATAAAAACCCAGTGACTACTAATCATATACTTATGAACAAATCATGTCTTGTTTTTAACATGTTGCTTTCATCTGTCTTATTGAAATTTTCCACACCTATAATTTCTGTGCAGTTTTTCCAGGGAAACATTAAATTTGTAGGTAAGCAAAAAGAAAATTTTAATCAGCTTGTAGCCTGTTAAATATTTTCTCTAGTTCAGATTAAATTTCACATGGTATTTTGAAATAAACATACAAAAAAAGTTACGGAAATAATATGCATTTCTGTTTCATATGAATTTGCAAGAAGTAATTAACAGTGCTATACATACATGCCAACTGTAAAACAAATATTTTGTGAATTAGGAAAGTAACATTTTTTTAAAGTGTATCATCTTTCATTGAGTTGTTGGGTAGTTTTAATTTTGCGTGATCTCGTGCTATGTTCCCAGGAGTGAAACATTTTAGTGCCAAATATATGCTTTATTTTTTTAATAGATTATGTTAAGTGATCTGGGATATGCTATGCCATTGTTGTTTGTATCATCAAAATATGTTTTCCTTTTACATTGCTAAAATAAACTTTTTTGTTGTTGTTTGTATTATCAAAATATGTTTTCTTTATACACTACTGAAATAAACATTATTTCAGTGTTTTCTTTTTAGTTGTTTCCATTATCTTTTCCTTTCTATGCTGAAATAAATTTTAAATTTGCTTTTGAGACACTGCCAGTTTTGGATAAATATCAATTTACTGTATATTCCAATTTAACTACTTATCTCTAGATAAATTCAATGTTAAGATGCATTCACATGACAATGCTAGCAACATAAACCAGAAAATGAAATACATGTCGCTGCCAAAAATTTGCCTAAAGGAAAACTCCAGCAAAGTCTGCATTTAGCCAATAAAATTATTAAAGTGAAAAAAATTTATGTAACACTTACAGAATGCTGCCAGTGCAAAGTATTTCATCTGCTGTTTCATTGTCTGCTCAAAAGAGTGCCACACTCAGTTAATTTTATTACAAATGTTGTCACATGTTACACTCTGATCATTTTATTACAAATGTTTATTTATTAAAGAGTTTAACAAAATAGCGAAATTTAATTAAATAGTTATATGAGCATAAATAAGTTTTAATGCAAATTACGATTTATAAAATTTTTGTTAAGTACATTGTATATAGGAGAATTGAAAGGCTTGAAAAGCCACCCACCACATAGTAAAATTACCTTATTATATTTTTGAAGTTTTCCCCTATCCGCTTGGCTTACCGGTTTATGTGGTGTGTAAAAGCACTGTAAAGGAATCTGTGTAAAATGTTCTAAAATTTGATCATTTTCTTAATATTACACACATAAATTAGAAGATAAAGTTCATCCAATAAAATTTATTTACTTCAAACTTAAATTTAATGGATTATAGAGAAAATTATATTCATACCAAAGACAAAAATGAAGTATTTTTTTAGTAAAAAAAATTAAATATGCCTTTTTTATGTAAAGATACTTTGCAGTGCTTCTGAGTTTTCACTCATTTCTATGAACTGACATGCCACCTATTTCTGCTTCCAAAAAAATTTATATTTTTGGAGGCAAGTGCTCTTAATTAAAGTAAAACACAAATCTGCTGAAATATTTATGTTCTTTGAATATCGAATGTGAATAACAGCTCTCATTTACATTCATTCTATGAGTTTTCTCTGTGTACTCCCAATTATTATTGAAAGCTTAAAAAACAAAAGGAGGTTATATTTTTTAAATATTTTTCTATTCATTGAATATCTTGTATAATGACTGAAAAATTCATGTAATATTTAAGTTTTCTGACTATTCTAATCATAATATTCATTACTTGCCTTCTCAAACCACTTTTTTTATCATCTCTTATTGTCTGCAAGATTAAAACAGAATACTTATGATCAGTTGGGAATTGATGGCTTTGATGCTTCTTAATTAATATGTAAATAATACTTGTGTTTGTTTTTCATTTTGCTATTTAGGTCGAAGTTCAAACTTTGAAGATATTATGTACAGAATTAAGTATGCAACAAGATAAAAAAATAGATAATTTACACAAGAGGCAGAGATAAAAACTTCTTGAATAAGTCTTTGTAGCAGTAGTTTAACTAATATTCAATAGTCATATGGGAGGATTATCATTGCCAATGGAAATATACTAGCTGTGTTTTATAGGATACTATTTCAAAGTCAACTGCTTTATTATGTCAAGTTATTTGATGACATTTTTTAACTTCTTTGATGCTGAGATTCTTATAGACGTTGTTACACATAAAATAGTGAGCATTTGCAATAATGAAGGAGCATTTTGTAAAGCAAAGAATCTTATTTTGTAGAAGTTGTAATTTATTTAGGTTCATATTGTGTATGGTGATACAGGCGAAGCATATGAATATATTGGTTGAATGATTGCTTTTTAAATATGCAGTTTATTTTTTTAACCCCTGAGTGGCATGACTGGCTTTATCCAGTCGTGAGATTTTTTTGTGACTTGGTGCGTATAATTTTAAATATTTTGCTTTCTTACTTTCTTTAATAATGTAAATGTCATTTTGAAGAATGTAAGTTTATGAAAATAAGTAATTATACAAATAGATGCTGTTTAAATACAGGTTTTCATGACAGATCAAAGAACCCGCACTGTTCAGAGGATTAAGGCGAGTTTGAAATTTAATCCAATATGTGGTTTGAGGGAAATAAGGAGGTTGTAAATAGTGTTAATGATTTTACTAATGGTGAGTTTTTATCGCTTTAAATAAACACTTTTTGTTGTGCGGTTCCAGTCATACTCAAAAGTGTAAACCGGAAGTTCTTTCAGATTATGACATGTGATAGTAATTCAGTCAGCTACTGATTGCTCCTTCACATCAGGACCAAAATGCTAAACACAAGTGAATTCAGGTTTATGTCTTCTGTATAATGCAAATTTACATCGGCCAAAAAAAATAATGGCAAATATGCCGTGAGTGTCCTCATGTGAATGGGCCTTTAGTAATCAAACTACTTTATCCTCTCTACTCATCTGTGTAGGTTATATAAAAAGTGGTTTCTTTTAATTGCTTAAGTTTCAGAAATAAAATCTAGTATTTCATTCAGCTTATAAAATTCTACTGCAAGGTCTGTCCATAAAGTAATCAGGCAGATTAAAAGACTTAAAATAAAACAAAGTGAAAGATGGCTTTATTTTTATCATTTTTGTATTATTTTGTCATATGCATATCAAAATGCTAGTAATTTTCATTTACTGAGAAGACAATGTACACAAAATTTGCTTTGAGATGGAACAACATTATAGCATTAAATTTTTCTACAAATTAGGCAAGTCAACTACCAAAATATTAGAGATAATTTAAATAGTATATGTTAATGGGAACACAAGTGTATAAATCGTAAAACTGCTTTAACTTTTTAAAGCTGGTGGTACAACTGTTGTACTGGGAAAATTATTTCTTTTAATGTTATTTCCTTTCCTTAGTTACGGTACAGCTGTTACATCAGCATTCTCTTCTCCATTTAAGAATCGCCTATCTTTAGATCTATCTTAAGAGTAATCGCCTATTTTTAGATCTCTGGGTGGTCCACCATCACTGATCAGAGTAGCTACTGGCTGTTGTAATTGTTTCTTGTTTAGTTGATGTGTTTGTTATTTTCCGCTGGCTGTTGTAATTGTTTACTGTTGCTTGTCAGTATAGCTACGTTTTGCTGAAAACCATAGGTTTCGTCCCACGTGAATACACTTGAATATATATGAATATATACGGATGTGTGATAGGTTTTCTATTATTTTATGTTATGTTTTGGTATTAATATTTGTAATACAATAGAAGTCCAGAAATTTACAAAGCTTGGGACCAGAGGTTGCGCGGATTTTAGGATTTTGTGGATTTCAGGACAGAAAAGATAAATCATAATATTCAGACTAAAAGTCAAAATACAGAGTCGTAGCTAGGGTTTTCAGCACCCAGGGACAACTGAAGATTTCGCGCCACCTACTGCTTGCCAAGGATTGAAAACATTTAATTCTAAAGTGTCGTAACATCAGTTTGGTGCCCCTTGGATCCTGCGCCCGGGGACAGATGCCCCCTTGCCCCCCTCTAGCTACGCCCCTGGCAAAATACATAAGGCATATTAGATACATTTAAACTTTTTGGGATGGGTGTCCACTATATTGCCAGTTGTGTTCCCTGTTTGAAAGGACGGGGTTGTCCACTTTAATGGTCATGTTCCCCCCCCCATTTCCTGG